GAAAGAAAGAAAGAAAGAAAGAAAATTTTTGTGGTTCTGGAAATAGCCTTTCTTTACCGATACTTACCTTTCTTTTTCTTCTTGGAAAAAGCAATGGAGTGACAATAAAGTCTCGCAACCGCAGATTTCTCTGATAATGAGAGTTAAAATATTAAGTAATTAATTGCCAGTCAATATTTTGGGTATTGCACATTGCCGTCTATCAACACCCACGTTATAAAATGTTTTGATTCGAAATGACGGCGTACCTCTCGCTTTTTCCTTAGATTGTATCTTTGTCCTTCTTGGCAATCCTAGTGATAATAAAGAGATTCAAATCTACATATTCAAAACCAATAATAGTTTAGTTGGCCGGTAAATAACCAGTTTTGGTCTCAAAGAAACTGAACATTTAAGGGCTTGTGAATTTTATTTTTCTTTCAATACTTTCATCGGTTAAATTGACTGGTCCACTTGTATCAAAGAGCCAAAAAATGTTGTCACGGCGCTTGTTCTGAAAATACCGCTGTGACATCATTTAGCAATACTTTCTATAGAGACCAGGATGTATAAAACTTGTAGATAAACAGACATGTAGAATGAATATAGCCGTGAAGCAGGCGCGGATCCAGGAATTTCTTTAGGGAGGGGTGCAACCCCCAAAATTGACTGCAAATCACTCAGATCAGGGGGTGCGCATTCCCTGTACCCCTACACTGGTTAAGCCCCTGCAAGGGTTCTCAAACACATACCTACGCTTTTATATTGGGGGTTTTCATGTGACGTCCCATTTCAGAACAATTGGTTTCATCGATCTCAAAAAGAAGTTGATTCTTAAATTGCCCTGCAGATATTAGTTAAACTGCGAAGTGTCGTGAAAATAACATGAATAGTCCTCRAGATATGAAGACTTCTCATCCGATTTTCACRACGTCGCGGCAGTTTTTCTATTGAATATATGTATGGCGATTTTAAGAATGAACTTCGTTTTGAGATCGATGAAACAAATTTTTCTGAAGTGGGACGTCACATGAAAACCCTCAATTTTTACAATCCAACACGCTTTGGTTTTCGCTCAGKGACTGATCCAGTGGAGGGGTGGGYGCGCAACCTTGAGTTGAGTGATTTATAAGTAAGTAAGTCCAAATATCTATTAAAGTAGTTAGAAAAGTGATACGGTGGCAAAAAATGATCAATGCGAGAGGGCATATTTATATTACCTTACTAGTTTTCCACAGTCCATCGCCATCTAACTCAGCTTGGTCTTCCATAAGCAATTCAAATGGGTTTGCCGTAGCGATGCCATCAACTGCCTTAAATGGTATTGGTTAAGTTATAGTTGTATAAAGCATATTTCGTGTGGGCGTCAAACGGCCCTACCGGAACAGCGCAAAAAATGATTTTTACGATTTTGTAAAAATAGATGGTAGTTTTTACATCGCTGTTTTTGTCAACCATGGAGAAGATGTAGGGAGTACGTACTACGGTCGGTAAGGTTGTACRTTTGAAAACTGTAGTGTAATTTCCTTGTACTCCACAACCATGCGGTAAAAGAAGGAGCGGGACTAGTGACTGAGGCATCCTAAAGTAAATACACCTATTGCAAAAAAGGTTGTCATAGGCGAAAGTTCATTCCAAGAAGGAAACCAATCATCGGAAGGTGTTTAAACACGAATAACAATTGGTTTATCAAATAGTTATTGCGATTACAAGCAGCCCTGAGTATTCAAACAGTAACCTCCGTGTTCTTGATAATGACGAGAATAATAATGTTAAACACCTGGATTATTCACGATTAGAAGTACACCCTTAATTCCTTTCCTTATTCGAATTTTTTTGTTTCAAGGTCGCTAAGAGATAATATGATTGTGTGATGGGTCTAGGTTTTGAAACATGCATTTGACCTGGTACTCTCGACTATCGACTCTCAACTCTCGACCAAAAACCCCAGACTATTGTGTGATCTGATGATATAGATAATACATGCATCGTGGGTGATCGGAGCGTGGTTGGTAAAGGGAGATTCAATAACGCATGCAATATTATAGGAATTGCAAGTTGGCGTTAATAGACAACATTTACTATCTTYTTTTCTTTTTCTTTTTGATTTTATTGTTTATGCAAGTTCGCCTGGTTCACCTYCAAAGGAAACTTCCCTAAATTTTGTATCAAATTGCAATTCTAAATATTGATGGGAAATCAAAGATTCTTATTGCACAATCATATATTATAACACATACCTTGTTTTTCAGGGAAACGTTAGTAACACTACTTTTGAGGCGTAGATTTTCGGCATAGCTTTTAGCGCCACCGATATCTTTTTTCCACGCATTATACACGGCTTTGATTTGTCGGCTTGAAGGTTTGGCACTGAAGTATTCAGTTGCCGAACGGATTATAAATCCTTCTTTCCTTRTGACTGAAGGCTTTTCGTTCTCTGAATAGAACCAAGCAAATGTTGTGCCAAGCTTTAAATAGTCAATACTGTGACTTTTAAGATGACGGGTTGCCTATAAAAGYATTTCAGGGTTCATAATTAGAGGCGTAATTACTATAATCATGTATAATTTGAATTCAAATCAACTGAAAATCAAATAATTACCTTGAASTACTTTTKGTCACCAAATTTCCTCATTGTAACAATACRATTCTTTAAATTCAGYAAAAATCAATAAGCTGGAAATCGCTACCACACTGCTAGCAGAAAGTAGTAACTCGCTTTTTCTAACACAGGTCTTAATGAGCCAAAGGTCACGGTTGTCATGAGCGTGTGCTGTGATAAGGTGATAAGTTAAAAGATAACTACGCAGTAGTATCTTATTTGAACTTAAATGTCTTGAATATACTCAAAACAATGTCAGTATTAAAAAAGTAAATAAACCTAAGGAAGAAAAACACCTTAGAATAAACTAAAAAATAAAATTTAAAGTCGAGATTGTTCTGSTAAACRGTTCTTCTTGCACTCCGGCCTCGCTTGCTGTTGATGTTGTTGCGACTAGCGGACAGACAGACCAAAATGTATGCGATCATAAAAAGCTTAAAATCTTCTTGTACTTTGCGTCATTCGCCAAAAAAATGCTTAAAACAYTCAAGTAAGCACTGAGGGATAATGTTTATAAAGTTTTTAGTAATCAAAAATGGGTTGGTACGATTTTCGAACTGGCTGCTGAACAGGCTGCTAACTTCAGCCTGGTTGTTGTTTCACATATTGTTCCAACTACCAGCAAATTCAATTGATTTTTATATGTGCTTCTCATTGAAAAGTATAAAGCTATAAAAAAAGAAACC